CCCCAATCTAGTCATCTCCCGACAATTCACGAAGGTTCGAGAAAGAAGTGGCGTAATACTAGTCACGTGACCTCGCTGACGCAACACTATGTATATATATTACCAGTTGAGTTTAGTATGTCTGATCTGTAGCAGTTAATACTTTTTTATTTTCTACAACAAACTGCCTATTTTTAAACTTCGTGATTCAAAAACAATAAAAAAACTTTTGACTTTTATAATAAATTATTGGTTTCTATGGTAACTGTTCAGGTCCTTCAGAACATGATCCACTGCTCTGACCTCAGCAGTCCAACAAAACCACTAGAGATGTACAAGAAGTGGGTGGACCTGCTTATGGAAGAGTTCTACCAGCAGGGTGACAAAGAACGTGCACAAGGCCTTGACATCAGTCCTATGTGTGACAGGCACAATGCAACTGTTGAAAAATCCCAGGTGAGCATTAACCATTTACATGCAGGTAATTACATTCACTTGAGACTGCTAATAAAGGAATTTGTTTCCCAAAATTTTATGTAGAAGTAAATGTTTAGTTTAAAGTAACATACCACAAAGTCCCATTGCATGTTGCCTTCTTTTATCTTCAGACTCTGGCTTTTTACTCATGATCAAAATCTTTCAAACGTATTGAATGTTCACTCAAAGCGTAATGGTAATATTTTTTCTTGTCGTTTTACATGTGAATACATAATACTATAATCCAAAAATGATCCAAGGACTTTCACTAACTTTTACCAAAAGGAGATAGTGTGAAATATTTCATTGTTTTGTGTTTCTTTTAAGGTGGAACCTGCATGAGGTGAAAAAACAATATAAATTATATCTAATATTGATCTGTAGAAGTATTAGGAATCAATAAAACTGTAATTTTATCATGTACCAACTAATTAAACAAACCATATGGTGTTAAACATTATCTGCTCAAAGCAACTGCTTTAATTTGATTTAAATAAAATTTTCATTATTTATAAAGGAGAACAAAAATAGTTGTACTGGAAACTAGAGCTGGACAGTTAGTGGTATTTGCTAATCATTTAATCAATGGTCCCATTAATTGATTACATTTGATTAATTAATTAGTATAGTGTTCCTCAAACCAAGTAAAAACCAAAAAGTTGGTGGTGGTGGTGGGTGCTACCAACTAGTTGCTTTCCCTCTAGTCAGCAGTTCATCACCACCACCATCAACAACAACAACAAAATGTTTGGCATAGAGCACTGCCAGCCAGTTGCCTTCCTTATAGTCCACACTTAAAAATTTGTGACAACAGCAGATAGCCTTAGTAGCTTTGCCATAACAAAGACAGAGCTAGCAAGCTTGGTAGCAGTATTCAAAAAATTACTTCAATAGTTAAATATGAATACAGTTGAAGTCAGAAAAACTAATTTTGATTAATTAGTTTAATCACACTTTTGATTTATTAATTAGTTTACGTGACATTAATTGATGTAATTCCTGTTCATAGGTAAATGATTAAATTACCTAGCTGTAATGGAAACTACAGGAATTCTTGCAAACATAATAATTGATCTACTACCCACTCCAATCAGAAACAATATAGCTGGGGATTTGTTTTTTGGTCAGTAAATTTCTTTTTTTAATGTTGTTATTTAGATACGTCATCCATTAATCTGTCTCAGTCTAGTTCAACTTGGGTTTTACAGGTTGGGTTTATTGATTACATTGTTCACCCACTGTGGGAAACTTGGGCTGATCTTGTCCATCCTGATGCACAGGAGATATTAGATACACTAGAGGAGAACAGAGACTGGTATCAAAACATGATCCCTGCCAGCCCCACCACCAGTACTTCTGATCTCAGTCTTGATCAGCGATCTGGTGGAGATTGTATCGATAGCAATACTAACCAACCACCAAAGTTTCCAAAGTCATCAGATAAAATCAAGTTTCAGATAACTCTGGAAGAGCCAGAAGAAGAAGACTTGGAGGAAGAAACATCTACGAAATGAGAAACCTAACAAATTTATATATGCTGTTGGATCAAAAGAAAGTGAATCTTTGTGATACAATATAGCTGTTTATGACTTGGTGTACAAAGTGAACTCAGGTGTATGAGAGATTACAGTTAATTAGTGTTTATTCTCATCTTGTGGCTATAAGCTCAGAACTGCTGTAGTAACCTCAAAAATAATTGTCACAAGATGTTCAATATCTGACAGAAAGAAAAACCTATACAATCTAGTCTTTTGTCTCTAGTGCAGAATAAATAATACTCAGCCAAATAATGCTGAAATGTTAAGTATGTTGTGTATAAAAACTCTTGTAAATTTTTTTTGTACCAAACAGTGTTTTGTGCTTAATTTTGTGACAGTATTTGCAACTCCATTTCATTCCCCTAATATTGAGTTTAAACATTTCATGTGTAGGTTTTATTTTCAACATAACTGTAACTTATTAATATACATATTTCACTGTTTATAACAATATAAAAGTTTATGGTGTTAGATGAAAACATAACTAGTTTCAATCAGTGTTTGGGCTTCTTACAGATAGTTGAATCAGGAATGTTCAGAATTTGTATTAGTGCTTATTTGTAGATAGAAACATTAGTCTTGTGAGCGAAAAATAATACATTGTTAGAGAACTGCTATTAGTATATAAAAAGAGCTATCTAGATGAAATAAGAAACTCCAATTTTAAAATACCTTTGCTCCAAAGCAATGTTGTGGAAGTATCTTTCTTGCTTATTTTCTTTTGTGAAATTTGTATTCTGATTTATAGTAACAGTTTTGTTCATTATCTAACTTCTTCAAATTTGTGTTGCTGATAACAAAGAACCTGAATAAAATTACCTGTGATACCACAACAACAGTCTGAAAATAAACACAGTACCAATGACTAATAACATGTTTTAATGTCTTGTTTTACAATAAATGAATTAATTTTGTTTATTATTAGTTTAAAATAATTAGTACACAACTTTGATAGTGACAAATATTTTTATTTATCTCTTGCATGATGCCAGTGATATTGGCAATAAATATATATATATATATTCCATTTAATCCTTACACAATGTCAATTATTGAGCTTACTAATAATGAGATTTTTAGTCAATAACATAGCAAAAAATTCTTTAAAAAATTATCAAGCTATCATTGTAAAATGATACTTGTAAATGTTTTAATTATTGAATTATCACAATACTATGATACCTCAAAATACAATAAAATTTGTGTTTATGAGTGTAATACCAAAATACAGGTAACACATTTCATAATTTCAGTTTGCTAGTATAGCATAGTATAGTGATATTATTTCAAGTACAGGTTCTCCTTTTTAGCCTATTGTGCTATTTACGCCTTCTCACACCCATACCTGTTATTAGAAACACATAGTTCCTGCTGTAACACCTATTAACTCAATATATTTGGGTTAGCAAAGTTAAATGCTAGTTTAAAATTATACTAACTGAATATTTTTCAGTTTTTATTATAAAATTGTGAGGAAGAATCTTAAGATGTTTTCCATGATGTTTCAAATGAAAATTTTCCTCAGCTTTTCAGATCTATGATGAGGTGATTGTCTTAATGGAAAGAACTTTAATAGATGAAGTATCTTTTCTGACAGAAAAATTCACTTGCATGAAGTGAAATCATTTTATATTATGGGCAAACTAGATTCAAAACAAGGTTGAAAAGCTATGAGTAAACGTTTTAACAATAGATTTTTCTTTTCTTTCTAATATGGTTTTCATCAGTTTGTATATTATTTTTACATATATTACATTGAATAATCCTTTCAGAATTTTACTGGAGAAGTGAAATAACTGTAATGAAAATAATTACTCTGCTTGAAAAAAAAAAGATGTTTCTGATAAGATTGTTTGTTTCTTTTTTTTATGAATAGGATTAATAGTTTCATTAAGAAAAGTAATAAACACTTTAAATGTTAGCTTTCTTGATAAAAGAAAAAGATGAATTATGTTCATGAGAATATTGTAAATGGAATAAATTCCTTTTCTGAACAAAATAATGGATAATGATAAATTTAAAATACTTCTCATGGGGAAAATCAATGAATAGAATTAATTCTAGGGAAGTTTGTGATGGAATAAATCTCTTCCTGTGGAACATTTTGAGTAGAATCAACATAATATTGTGTTTAAAGATGCAAATTTCATCTTTCAGTAAAATTTTCAAAAATATATTAAATGACATGTATAATTCATATTGAACGATTATTTGACTCCAGCTTAAAAGGACATCATTCATTGTCACTGTAAATGTTAGAACAATTTCTTGAACACTTGTATGAACAAGATGAGTTTCTAACTGTTCTCATGCAAGAATTATCAGTTCTGAAGTTACATTGTACTGTTTGTAGTATGTTTAATCATATTGTTATCTGCATGCAGTATGTAGGAAAAAATATTTAAATGTATTGTATTGAGAACTCAAGATCCATATTGAAGTATTAGTTTAAAGTTATTGTTAAATACAGATATTGGCTGTACTTTAAGTGTTTCCCTGGTTAAACTATTCGTGTTTTCTAACTTTTAGAGCAAATAAGTTTTAGTTGGGAATTCTAAGTAGAACTAAACAACTTACTAGCAAAATAAAACTATTGTGGTTTATATATCATTTATTCTACCTTTGACAACTCAAACCTGTGTTTTGAGTTTTCGTTACACCTCATTACAAAGTCGTACAAATATTTTTAATTTTTTTTATCTATTCAAGTTTCAAATCAGGATTTTTATTTTGCAAACTGTGCATGTTTTCATGTACTTGATTTAAAGTTTGTGTTAAAAAGCAGGTCAGTATCTTAGAGGAATGAAAGTGTTTTTAAAGGAAATTTGGCCTAAGAGTTCAGAAATAATCTCAAGTGTGGATATTTTCAAAATCGAATTCCAGTCTCAACGTTAAAGCCATTGTATTTACACTTTACAGTTTGTTATGTGGTATCCATGTAAACTTAGTATCTCTATGACGCTTGTTCAGTAAACATGCAGGAAAGTTCATTCAAGCACAAATCATTACGGTTTTGAGAATTGTGTAATGTACAGTAAGAAGTGTAGTATTACAGTTTATTGCGTTTTAAAATGTCATTTCTCACAATTTTGTTTGTTTTTACAAAATATTACACATTTACGTACAGTTTATACAGAAAAAAAAAAAACTCCAATCAGACGATAGCGCCACCGTGTATTGTATTAAAGAGTTACAAAAACGAGCACGTGTAATTTTGAAGGAGATTAATATGTTGCATTTAAAGACCCCTTAAAATAGAGTAATAACACGCAATTCAGGAAGTTGACACTTTTATTAACTAATATTTTCTAATATAACTCTGATTTCTCATGATCCAATAAAATAATAACGAGCACACTTTGCGAATAAAACATGCACTATAACTACAGAAAGACTATGTAATAAAAGTTATTTTGAGTCTATTTGTTTCGGTATCTCATGTACACTTGTAGTTATAAAAAGTCAAAATAAAAATGTATTCTTAAGAGATATGGTTTTAAGTCAAAATAACTGCTTGAAAGATTAAATACTAATATTGGATATAATAATATAAACGTTTTTGAGTTAAAAATAAATAATTATTACCAGAAATATACTGTATTACTAAATTCTTAACTTGCTGTACAAAAAATTTTTAAGAAGAGATCTTTAGAAATTCGATATGTTAAGGAAGTTTAAAAATAATGTTGGTTAGATATACTATATCCCTAAAAATGTTTAAATTCACTTAATTGCAGAGGACGTTCTGTGAAACATAAAATCAGAGCCGTATGTACGTCTCTGTATAAAATAAATATTCTAAAATACTTTGTGATGTGAAATTAACTTAGTTTTAATATTTAACCTCACTATATCTATTGTTGATATGTGATTGTTGTGCGATAAAATAAGTATTTCAAATGTCAACAATGAGTCGTTCATGCCGATATACTGTTGCAGCATTTGAAAAAAAAATCGTGAAAAGTTTTTTACGGTTGCTTTCGTTATTTTTTATTTTTGGGTTTGTTTTGTTTTTTCATGAAATATTTAATTTTTTACGGTGTTTTTGACTAGAACATATAATCGTATTTGGCAGAAGGACTCGTAACTTTGGTTATTTTCTATTATTTGCAACAAAAGATTGCAACGCCTGTGGATCATTTGTTTCGCTGATAAGTTCTGTCTAGAGCACACTTCCTACTAATCCAATGTCATAATTTTTAACAATCGATAAGCTTTAAGATCATATACGTTTCTTAAATTTGATATTTAGAAATTAAAAATCAGTAGCAGTGTCCCCAAGAAATTATCACTATACCGTTGAAAAGTGAGCTAGTTTCCTGGTGAACTTGCACCCGATAGCTTAGCGATAATCTCGGGAGCTATTAGAGCTACAATTCGGAGTTCAATACCCGCGGTAGGCACGGTCGTGATAGCTTTTTTATTCAAAACAAACCAGCTACTGTGCTCCTTTGGCGATTCATAATAAATTTAATAAAAATTACAAAATACTCAAGTTTTCTTCCGAAGTAATTGCCCTCAGTGGCTCAGCAGTAGGTCTCAATACCCATGATGGGCATATCAGAGGCGTTTGAACCGAGGATGCTACAGCACCCCCACTTTTACACATTTGACTTATAGAGCAACTGTAAATTACATTATTATATTAATTTTCTGAGAGGCATTCCCTCTAGATTGCTCCTTTCGATCTGTTATTGTAAAACTCACATATCTAGCCAAGCACTCTTACTTTGCAACTCCTTCCTACACAAGCCCCCAGTAGCACAGCGGACTTACAACGCTAGAATCCGGGTTTCGATACCCGTGGTGGGCAGAGCACAGATAGCCCATTGTGTAGCTTTGTGCTTAATTACAAACAAACAAACCTTCCTACACCACTGCACAGTACAGATAGCCCATTGTGTAGCTTTGTTCTTAATCACAAACAAACCTTCCTACACCACTGCACAGCGCAGATAGCCCATTGTGTAGCTTTGTTCTTAACTAGAAACAAACAAACCTTCCAACACCACTGCACAGTACAGATAGCCCATTGTGTAGCTTTGTTCTTAATTACAAACAAACAAACCTTCCAACACCACTGCACAGTACAGATAGCCCATTGTGTAGCTTTGTTCTTAATTACAAACAAACAAACCTTCCAACACCACTTCACAGTACAGATAGCCCATTGTGTAGCTTTGTTCTTAATCACAAACAAACAAACCTTCCTACACCACTGCACAGTACAGATAGCCCATTGTGTAGCTTTGTTCTTAACTAGAAACAAACAAACCTTCCAACACCACTGCACAGTACAGATAGCCCATTGTGTAGCTTTGTTCTTAATTACAAACAAACAAACCTTCCTACACCACTGCACAGCGCAGATAGCCCATTGTGTAGCTTTGTTCTTAATTACAAACAAACAAACCTTCCTACACCACTGCACAGCGCAGATAGCCCTTTGTGTAGCTTTGTTCTTAACTAGAAACAAACAAACTCACATATTTTCAATGTTGAGTATACATAGTATATATTGAACAGCATCCTTACCTTTGCGCATCTACCATAGAAATATGTATATATTAAAAGTTGTTCTTTAATTTGTTTTATGATTCATTCTTACTTTTAAATTACGTTATTTGGGTATTTTTACACGTTATGTTGTTACATTGCATTTTCAGTCACAAGAGAATACATTATAAAACCTCTTACAATAAAATCTACCAAGAAAAAGCTGAGTATGATTACATCTGGTGTGGACAACCTCGAATGTATGTATCTTCTCTTAAATTTTTGCCCACATTATTGATATCAAACTTCCGTTTATCTCCAAGAGATAGCGAAC